CTTCAGTCTCTGAGGAGGGGCTTCCTGGGCCAACGGGAGGGTGGTGTGGACGGCGGCACTGCTGGCCTGAGAGCGAAAGCGGCCAAGGGCTACATGCAGGGAGATGTAGACTCCAGGCGGCGCCGTGTGTCCTGCTTGGACCCACACCGGCAGTATCATTTGAGTTGTGAGGTCCCACTTTCCAAGGGATGGGGAGCCCACCGAGGTGTTTCGAGGAGAGCAGTGAGCACAGTGAGGGCTCTGGAAGCTGCGTGTCTGAGCTGTCGGGGGGCACTGCTGCCCAGAGAAGCCTAAGGACACACTTGCTGCCCCCCTCAGACCCCTTCAGCTCTCTGGAAGGTGGCCCGGGGCGGGCGCCAGGGCCTGCTCCGGCAGGGTGGCCCCAGAGCGCGCGCCCAGAGCAGAGCAGGTGTGGGAGCGAGCGGACCTGACAGGAATGGGCTGCCTCGCCGCTGTGTGCCCCACCTGGGGCAGTGTGGGAGTGACAGGCCAGCTGGCAGGGGGACAGCGGCAGAAGCTCAGGAGACCCGAGGGCCCTCGGGTCTGTCCTTCCAGCCCTGATGCCTTGGACTTGGCTCTGTGGAGTGGCTTCCACAGAGCAGAGAGGGCGGACTTCTCCACGGAGAGGCATCCTTGCCCCTGAAGGGAACTTGGGGCTCTCTGGTTGAGGAGACACAGGCTTGGTGAAGGCCGAGGGCAGGGCCGAGGTGGAGCTGGCACTCTGGTGGCTGTGTCATGTCCATGGTGTGTGCCTGCAGGTCTGTCTCCCTGCTCCACACAGGGCATCCCCGGGTCAGTTCACTCGGCCTAACAGGCTTTGTCCGGTAAATGGATAACAGGGGAAAATATAAAAGAGAATAACGAGAAAAAGCTGTACACCAGCCATCCGTTACTCCTCAAATGTCTGCCAGGTACAACCATGAGCCGGACACTAGGTGCTGGTGCTCACGACGCCAAACCTCGCCTGCGGCTAGCAGAGAGGCGGGTGCTACCAGGCACGGGATAACTGCTGAAGCAGAGGCTACGGTGCAGTCCTGTGGCAGAGCAGGCGGAGCCAGAGCTCTTGTCTGGAGAACGCCGTGTCTCCTGCAGGTTCTTTATAAGAATAATGAACCTTTCAAAGATGGTTTCCTTGGCACCCCCTCCCCCACGTGGGGAGCTGTTGTTTCCATCACTGCGTTGGACCTTTGGTTGAGTCTGGGGAATGTGGTTGCCTGCACAGGGCCCGTGGTGGCAGACAGGAGGAGAGCAAAACCAAGAAATTGCCCTGTCTACTGTCCCCCTCCATCCCTCCCATCCCCTACCTCCGACCCCCACCCCGCCTCCTGCCAGAGCTGACCTGGGCCCTGGCTCAGCCCCTCGGGGCCTTGTGTCCATCTGTAGAGTATCACAGTTGGACCAGATCGCTACGTCCCTCTTAGGAACTAACATTTACCAACCATCGCCCGTATTTCAGGACTCATGCCATGAGTGTTCACATCCCTGGGAGGTGGGCACTGTGATCTCCTGTTTATAGATGAAGGAAACTGAGGCCCGGGCCTGGCACACCCATGGATGCCAGCCCATGGCTGTAAAGGAGTTGGGCCGGGATTCAAACCCAGTTTTTCTGGCCTCAAGTCCCGTCAGTGCAATTTCTCCTCCAGCAGGCTGCCCTTTACGTGATAAGAAATGACCAGCCTGGCATGAGGTCATTGTTCAGAAAGTATGAGTTTCTTTCTTCCTCGGGGCGTTTTCAAAGCTGTGGAGGCAGGGATTCTGGGACAGCGTCCACAGGTCCCTGACTTCTGAGCGCGGCCCACGGCAGGAGCAGCACCCCAGCTCTGGGCTGCTCTGATGTCCCAGCAGGAGACTGTGGAGAAAAACCCACATGGTGGGTTATGGGACTAGAATCGTGTGCAAGGGCAGGAGTCGGTGGAAGGAAAGGAAGGCCTTTCTCAGAGAGTCTGGGGCAGGGCTTGATAATCCTGCTTCCAGATTCTGAAAAAGCACAGATCCAAGGTCAGTGTGTGTGTACTCAGGAGGCATTGCTTTGTCTCCGTGGAAACGGAAAGAAGGCCAGAAAATCAAGTTCCTAAGATTCAAGGTGTCTCATGTAACCTTGAGATATTTCATCCTACAAATAGGACAGAGCCTGGCACTGAAAAGGTTCTCATTCATTCATTCCACAAGTATTTACTTAGTCAGGGCCTTCCCTGGGCCAGATATTGTTTTAGGCACAGAGAATACAATGATATGCAAATATGACGTGGTCCTGCCCTCTGAATGCTTCAGTCTAGTAGGGAAACCAAAGAGTGAAGTAATCCCCTGTGACACCGGGCTTGAAAGAAAGGGCGGAGAGTCTGTAGCAGGGGACTGGTCACATCTGCGGTCAGGGAAGGCTTCCCTGGGAAAGTGCTCCAGTGAGCGGAGAGATGGGAGATGAACAGGCATTAACCAATGGAGGAAGGAGCAAGGGGACGTTCCGGGCAGAGACAACAGCATGTGCTAAGCTGTAAATGGAAAGAGCAGGGCAGACAGAGCAACATCGAGTCCTGCGAGGCTGGGGCACAGGAGCAGGAAGGCGGTGGGAGCAGGATGGTCAGCCGGGGGGGCTATGTAACAGGTTTTACACACACACACACACCCCACCCCGAGTGCAAGGTGAAGCCCTGGCGAGTTGCAAGCAGGGAAGAGATGCTTTTTTGAAAGATCATTCTGATTTCTATATAAAATATGAATGGGCCCTGGCCGGTTTGGCTCAGCGATTAGAGCGTCGGCCAGTGGACTGGAGAGTCCCAGTTTCGGTTCCCACTGACACGTACCTCGGTTGCAGTTTGTCCCCAGCCCCTGTTGGGGTCGTGTGGGTGGCAACCAGTCGATGTGTCTCTTTCATGTCAATGTTTCTCTCTCTTGTCCTCCCTTTCTCCCTCCTGCTCTATCTGAAGATGAATGCAAAAATGTCCTTGGGTGAGGATAAAAAAAAAAAATGAATGGGATGAGGTGCAGGGGACAGCAGTCAGGAGGCTGTTTGACAGTGGTCCACAGAGGTGATGGCACAGCTGGCGAGGGGGAGAGAGGGAGGGGAAGAAATGGGAACATTCAAGAGATATGTGTTAGAAACTGGAACAGATGGTCCTTGATGGCTGGATGAAGGTTTTGAGGGAGAGGAAGGTCTCCAGGATGACTCTGGGTTTCTGGCTGGGGCCATGGTGGATGATGAACCAGGTTTCAGCAACAATAATTTGTGAATCTTTCCATTTGGCCTTCTTTGTTCCAGGTACTGTGCTGGGCACTGGGGCTGCAGGCCAGGACGATGGCCCCTGCCTTCAGGAGCTCATGATCTAATGGGGGAGACCTGACATGTAATGGGGGACCCTATGAATGTGGGGAGAGGCTGTAAAATGGTGCTGCTGCCGGGGAGATACAGACAAAACTAGTGTGGAGAGATGCCTCCGGAGGGCCTGGTGAGGAGGGGGGATCGGAGCTGAATTGTCAGGACAGACAGGGAGAAGTGGGTGGAAGAGAGCAACGCAGGCAGCAGACACGAAGAAAGGAAAACACTGGGAGTGTATGAAACAGCATGGTGGCCAGGGGACAGTGCAGGAGGGTGAGGCTGCAGGGCTGCCACCACCTGCCCTGCCTTCCTCCAGGGCTGCCATAAGGGTCCAGTGTGTGAGCACTTAGTAAACTGTTCCTAGTTATTATAATACTGGACTTATTCCTGCGATGCACCAAAGCAGTCTACAAATATCAACAATTATGATTTCAGATCCCTGCCTAAAAGGATCATCTGTTCCTCTGTCTTAGTAGTTCCTGACATTTGTATTGTTATCCCCATTCTACAGGTGAGGAAACTGAGGTCTATGGTGATTGAGTAGTTGCCCAAGACCTTGCAGGCCATAGGCAGCACAGAAGCTGAGAAAAACCCAGCAGAGAGTACACAGGCTTGGATGGGAAGGATCTGTGTCCAATGCTGCCTGGAAAAGCCTTACATCTGGCTCAGGGCAGCAGACTTGGCTGTGAGGTTGGCTATGCCCAAGGACAACTGGCCTACGGGCTGCATGGGGCTGAATCCAGCCAGTCTCCCCTCACCACCCATGTGCCTGGCTTCCCCCAGGGGGCGCAGCTTGGTCTCCTTCGCACAGAGGGCACTCTGAATGCTGCTTCTGCCAGCCTTACTGGGAGTGGTGGGGCGGTTCATAGCTGGGAGACCGACAGGGCACTGTGTAACCAAGCGATGTCCAGTCAGTGTCAATGAGAGTTTTATGTTGTCCCTGAGGGTGGTTTTGTTCATAGGAAAACTGCCTGAATGGGGAGTCCCAGCCTATCATCTAGTAAGGAGGGATGGGAGCGATGGCAGTGGCACAGGCAACAGTGGGGTACATTGTCTATAGAGAATTTAAAAGCAGTAATAAAGCCAATTAAAAGCTGGTCTGCTTATTAGCATCACCACTTGCTGGCTGTTCTAAACTATGTCTGTGCTAGAAATAGTTTTCTGCTTGCAAGGGGTGGGGGAAGAGGGACGTTCCCATCGTCCTCCTTCTTGGCATGCTGTGACTGCTTGCCCCTCCCCACAGTCAGCCCTTAACAAGGGGTCAGGGAGAGGAAGGCTGTGAGGACAAGGCAAGAGCACTCTGGCCCATAGCGTCATGTGGGTGGACAGCTAAGAGGGGATCCCAGGCGCGGCCCAGCTAGCCCAGAGGAAGGAAGGCGGCCTGGGTGGAGTGTGGGGTGGACAGGCTGCTGGGCTGCCCACTGGAGGCCTGAGTCCATCAGACACTGTCGTTTTCACTGGTGCCGCCTCTGTGCCACGCGCAGGTTATAATCAATTGGCAAGCCCACTGAATGGCTGATTCCCGAGTCTGCCCCTCATTCCACCCCACGTTCTGCACTAAGAACATGGAAAGCCGATTCTCCTCCTGGCTCTCCAAGAGCTGCCCCGCCCAGGCTCCACAAACGATCTGCTCTGCCCTAGCCCTGAGCTCTGGCCCCCACAGTGACCACCTCTCTCTCCTCTGCAGGAGCCAGGTCCATCCCACCGGTGACTCACGTAAGAAACGAGGTCCCGTAGTCACACAGCCAGACAAGGATCAAGGTCCTGTGGGCCTGGGGCCTCTGAAAGGTCCAGGTCCTGTGATCCAAGAGCCTCCGAAGGATCAAGGCCCTACTGTTCCAAAGCCTCCGAAGGATCGAGCTCCTGCGGTCCCAGGGCCTCCGAAGGATCAAGCACCTGCGGTCCCAGGGCCTCCAAAGGATCAAGCTCCTGTGGTCCCAGGGCTTCTGAAGAATCAAGCTCCTGCGGTCCCAGGGCCTCCGAAGGATCAAGCACCTGCGGTCCCAGGGCCTCCGAAGGATCGAGCTCCTGCGGTCCCAGGGCTTCTGAAGAATCAAGCTCCTGTGGTCCCAGGGCCTCCGAAGGATCAAGCTCCTGTGGTCCCAGGGCCTCCGAAGGACCAAGCTCCTGCGGTCCCAGGGCCTCCGAAGGATCAACCTCCTGTGGTCCCAGGGCTTCCGAAGGATCAAGCACCTGTGGTCCCAGGGCCTCCGAAGGATCAAGCTCCTGTGGTCCCAGGGCCTCTGAAGGATCAAGCTCCTGTGGTCCCAGGGCCTCTGAAGGATCAAGCTCCTGCGGTCCCAGGGCCTCCAAAGGATCAACCTCCTGTGGTCCCAGGGCTTCCGAAGGATCAAGCACTTGTGGTCCCAGGGCTTCTGAAGGATCAAGCTCCTGCGGTCCCAGGGCCTCCGAAGGATCTAGGTCCCATGGTTCTCACACCAGTTAAGGATCAAGATCACATAGTCCTTGGGCCTTTAAAGAACGAAAGTTCTGTGATCTCAGCACCAGTCAAAGGCCAAGGTTCCTTATTCCCAGTGCCTCTAAAGAATCAAAGTCCTATGGGTCCAACAAGGTTTAAGGATCAAGGTTCCATGGTCCCAGAGACTCTGAAGGATCAAGGTCCCATGGCTCCAGCACCTGTCAAGGATCAGCATCCTACGGTCCCAGAGACTCTGAAGGATCGAAGTGCCATGGTTCTAGCACCTGTAAAGAATGAAGGTCCTATGCTCTCTAAGCCTGTAAAGAGCCAAGGTTTAGTGGTTCCCGAGCCAGCCAAGGATCAAGGTGGAGTGGTCCCAGAGCTTCTGAAAGATCATGATTCTGTGGTTGCAGCACCTGTAAAGAATCAAGTTTCTACGGTGCCAAAACAAGTCAAGGATCAAGGCCCCGTGGTCCCTGAGCCTGGGAAGAATCCAGTTCCTATCATCTCGGTGCCTCTGAAAGATCAAGATCCTCTAGTGCTACCATCAGCCATGGACCAAGGTCCTGTGGTCCCTGAACCTCTGAAGACTCAAGGTCCCAGGGGCCCACAGCTGTCCACTGTCTCACCTCCACCCCCAGTCACAATCCCAACTGTCCCCCATGCAGAATATATTGAGAGTTCCCCTTGACACTCACCCCTTAACATCAAAGAAGGAGCTGGTAGTGAAAGTGCTCCCTCTCCAGGGCAGCGAAATCTCACATTTAATCTGCATGAAAAACTATTGTATAGTCTTGCTGGAATCTAATAAAACATGTCCCTCTGGCTCAGCAGTGGTTCTCTCTGGCTCCAACTGAGTGAGTGAGTGAGTGAGTGTGCGCATGTGCGTGTGCGTGCACACACCACGCACATTTGAAAGTGGGCATGCAGGCTGTGTCACCCATCCAATCAAGAGGAGTCTCAGCAATTCCCGGCTCCTCTGAGTTGCTAGCATGAGGTGGAAGTGGGTAGGAGATGCTAGCAGATGGAGGATAGGACATACCTGTGTTTCTCCTTTACTCTCATACTCCTAAACTTCACTTCTGACACCATATGTTGCCTAAACATCAAGCAGTTATCTGACATGAGTTGGATGTTGCACAATTTAATGCAACTATCTATCTGGAGATAGTGTCACCTCCCACAGGGTAAGGGAGTCTCATAAGACTGCCCCCCTCACTCCAAATGCAAACTCCGTGTCCCAGGTTGTCTGTCACTTGTATTTCTGACTGGCTATAAACTGGGGTTCTCACACCCCCTACTTTGTCTCAATAATTTGCTAGAATAACTCACAGAAGATAGAAACACATTACTGGTTTATTATAAAAAGGATAAAGGATACAGATGAACAGCCAGATGGAAGAGATGGATAGGGTAGGATATGGAGGAAGGGGTGTAGGCATGACACCCTCCCAGTAGCTCAGCCATCTGGGAGCTTTCCGACCCCCATACTTTTGTTTTTTAGATCCTCACCTGAGAATCTTTTTCCATTGATACTTTTTTATAGATAGAGTGGGAGGGAGAGAAAGAGAGAAACATCAGTGCGAGAGAGACATATCATTTGGGTGCCTCCCACACGACCCTGACCAAGACCGGGGATCAAACCTGCAACCCAGGTATGTGCCCTTGACTGGGAATCAAACCCCCGATTCTTTGATCCATGAGCCAACACTCCAACCGCTGAGCCAAACCGACCAGGCCACTTTTGGGACTTTTATGAAGGCTTCATCATGTAGGCATGATTAGTCGTAAATTCATCCTCTTCCCAGAGGATGGGAGGTGGGGCCCAAACTTCCAAGCTTCTACTCATGGCTTCATCTTTCTACTGACCAGCACCCATCCTAAAGCTATCCAGGAGCCCACCAAGAGTCACCTCATTAAAACAAAAAACACTCACCCAAGAAATTATAAGTGTTTTAGGAGTTCTATGCCAAGAACAGGGAGCAGAGACCAATACATATGTATATTTTCTATTATTTTCCAGGTCAGTTCCCATGAGAGCCTAGAAATCATTACCAAATCACAGCAGGTTGAGCCCTTGGATGAGTCAGAGCTGAAACCCGCAGAGGAAACAGAAGCAGGGATCCAGTTGGCCCAGTGTCATTCTGGGTGACAGTTGTTTGCCAAGGGCTCAATGCTAAAGTTCATCCAAATGTCACACTTCTTGAGAAAACCAGGCCTCTGATCAAAAGAGTCCCAGGACATCTGCTGATTCTCAGTATCCAGAAAAGCTCAGTCAGGACTTCTAAAACAATACCTCAAGTCCCCTGTTCATTCATGCACACAGCGAACTTTTCCTTAGCACGCTCTTTGTGTCTTGCTCAGTTCTAGTCATTGAGCTCATTGTGGTAAAGAAGTCCCAGTATTAAGACAAGATAATTGGGTGTGGGATGAGGGCATGGGACAACTAAAGGCCTGGTTTGAGAGAACTGTGAAGAGATGATGCCTGGAGGGAGCAAGCAGGAAGGTGTCTTGAAGAAAGTGGCTGTGGAGTTCAGACAACCTAAGCAAGGGACGGAAAGGGGCGTCACGTGCAGCTGGAGAACCAGAGGAAGCCCCTCTAGAGGTCCTTGAGTGAAAGAACCTGATTTTCATGAGGGCTTGACCAAGGATAGTGCAGGTCTCTGGGGCAGAAAACTGGGACCAGGCAGGGGTGACCAGTTTTCTGAATGTCAGGATCTCAGGACTGGAGCCAGGAGGTGAGCTGTGTGTCTTGCTGGCAGGCTAGGGAAGAAGACTGGGGGCTGCCAGAGGGGCTGAAGTTCTGCTCCGATTAGAGATGGGTCCTGCGAGGAGCCCACTCAGGGGCCTGAGTGTGCAGGTGGAGCTCCATCTCTTTCCTCACCAAAGCTCACCAAGGAATACTCATACCGCTTTAAGACTTTTATGACCCATTATGGACGCTAACCCCTTTTAAAGGGCTGCTTTTAAATTTCAGCTTGATTCCTGCAAAAAATCACCACAGAAAGTACTGATGACTTCCAAATTTTTCTCCTCACCCCTCTCCCAACAGCCCCAGAAGCCACCTGTATAATACACACACACACACACACACACACACACACACACAAGCACGCACGCACGCACGCACGCACTGAGGATTCTTCCTTGCCCAACACAGAGCTGGCTGGCCTGTGAGTTGTAATAGGGCCCCGCAGACAAGGAAAGCCACAACGAGACTAAAGAAGTGTTGTGTATGGACACCTCCCTCCTTTCAGTGCTCCCTCTGACCCACACACCTGGGCCCATGACACACATTCCCCCGGGGCCAGGCAGGTGATGGTGTCATCTCTGAGATGTGTAACATTCTGGGGCAGATTCCAGGAGACCATCGCCTACCAGGTTTCCACCTCTGAGGAGAGCTGCCTTTGTGTGCGTGGAAGGGAGGGGGGCTGATCACTGAAGCCCAACGTTGGGGAGGGCACACATTGAGCTCCCCCAGGGACATGTCAGAATGGAAAGACAAGTGGGCCCCACTCAGAGCTCTGGAGACTTTTAAGAGGTAGGAATAGAAGTGCACAAAGGATGCTGAGAAGAGCTGGCCCTAAACTGTAAGGAGAAACCAGGGGCTGTGGTACCAGCAGTGATTCCATGAGAGTGATGCTCAAAGACAAACGCTGAGAGTGCAGGTTAGGACCAGGTGCCTATCAAACAAGGCAGCTCCCACTTGGGAGAGGAACGACCTGGGCTCCAGCCCAGCGCCGGTCACCTATGTCCTCATTTGTCAGAGTGCTGGTCCTGGCGAGTAGAGATCCTGCCAGCAGCCACACCAGCATCACAGCCAGCTCTCCACTGCACAGAAAGAAGGCCCAGCGAGGGAGGTGATGGCCAAGGCTCGGGTCCTGGGCTGGGGTGGGAAAGGCAGGGAATGAATTAGATTCTCCTCACCCTTCCCAGATGCAGACTTCGTTCAGGCCCTGGTTCTTCCCTGCGGCAGCCATTTCCCAGCGGCTCCCAGCATCCACCATCTCCATCCCTCTCCTTCCCCTCCCTCCCTGGGAGGCTGGGGGGACCCAGATAGCCGCCGCCAGCGACTCCACCCGCACCTTTGTGGCCGGCATGGGGGAGGGGAGAGGAGGCTGAGAGGGGGCGGGGCGGAGGGGAGGTGTCTCTGCAAGGGGAGGTTCCGGCTCTTGGTCTAGGGTCTAATCCGGGTGGTTCAGGTCTGAGGCCCGGTCTGAGACTCGGATCCTGAAGATGCCCAGACTCCGCACAAGAGCAAGGGTCCCACCCGCCGTCCCGCACAGCCCAGCCCGCGGCTACGCGCACTGGCACCCGGCCGCGCCCCCGTGCTGCGGGCACCGGGCAGCTTCCCCGGGCCGGGGCTCCGGGCTTCTTTTCTGGTGCAGCCTGGCGCCTCGGGGCCTCGGGACAAGGGGTTGGGCGGTGGGATGGACGTGCTGGGTGGGCGACCGAAGCCTTGCAACCCTTGGACTGGATTGCGGCCACGCCCTCCAACCACCGCTCTTGGAGGAGCTGGCGCCACCTGGAGGCCGGCCTTGGAGACCCCAGAGGAGCTGGGCCGAGGCCTCCAGGGAGCCCCTGATGATTGATCCCGGAAAAGGCCTTGACTTGACTCCTTTTCTCACAGAGAAGGATCCGATCTACAGCCGCTGGCCCACCAACAGCCCGACCTATCCACCCTGCCCAGACGCCCTCCACACCAGCAACTCCACCCATCCCTGTGCGGGTGGGAGCACAGACCTCTCACCACCCTCTCCTGTGCCCCGAGGAGGCCTGTGGCCTCAGGCCCCTCTTTGTGTCATCTTGGTGGCCCCCACATCCAGGCCTGGCTTCTCACCGCCCATGTACACCTTGTCCGGGAGCTGTTGCAGGCTGAACTTTGGGTGCCTTCTCTGAGCTACATCTGTATGGTTAGGATGACTTCCAACTTAACTGGGCTATTGTGGGGAGAAAGTGGGACGACCAATACAGACTGTAAGCAGGCTATGCACCTTTGTTTTTAGTATCTGGCCAGTTCCTCTCCTGCCCTTCCTGTGTGGCCTGGAGGAAGAACAATTACCCAACTGATAGGAGCAATTCCCAGGTCCTCAGGCAGGTCACTTAACCTCTCTCAGCCTGTTATCTCCCCTGTAAAATGGGGATAATCTTCGTGTAGCCAAGCTGTTAGGAGGCTGAGATTATATATATATATATCAAGTAACTGACATGGTGTATGACATATAGCAAAACACAAAGGTAGTACCAGCTATTATTAAAATCATTATTCTGGTCGAGATATGCAGGTGGAGTCACTACTCATCCTTCAAGATTCCTCCTGGGAACCTCCCTTCTTCTCCCCCGGCAGTCATGTCTTCCACCTCCGGACTCCCACAGCCCCCATGACCTTCTAGCACAGTCTTTTCATTCATTCAGCAAGTGTTTAGTGCCTTCTGTGTATGCTCAGTCTAGGTGAGGACATACAGTGATGAAGACATGGGCCCTATTCTCATAGTAGTGGGGTAGTGAAGGTGTAAATAGGTGGATAATTTCATAGCACTGAGTCATTAAAATGAGAAAACAGTAGAGAAACTAAGGTGGGGAAGGAGCTGTTTATATTGGGTGGTCAGAGAAGGTATCATTGAGCAGATGACATTCAAGTTGAGTTCTAGATGACAAAAAAAAAGCAGCACTACAAATTTAGAAGACCACTTGCCAGGCATAACAGCTTGTACAAAGGCCCTGAGGCAGGGGAATACATGTGGCATGCCTGGAAACAGATGG